CAGTGGCGCGCCATTGTGCAATGTTCCCGCCTTCCACCACATATCACACAAGCACACAATGAAGTACCGCCCTAAAAACCAAGAACAAGGCCAAGCTGAACGTATGTAAACGCGTACCACATACCCCATATTTAATTCGAAGCTTTTTTTAAAATGGAATAATGATAATAGGAAGTCGAAGCCACAAAATTAAACTCTGTAGCCGCTGTCGCAGTACAGATGGGTGTGCATCGCTCGTCTGTATACCGCTGGAGAAAGCAAAAGACAAAAAAGAGGATGGAAGCAAATTCTACGTGAATCCAAAGGAACATGAAGCACAGAGAGTGCACTATCTTAATTTAGAAAAGAGGTTTGAGCTTGTTTTAGTTTTCTAGTTTTATTTCTACTAACATGTTAGCTTTGATGTCTAGACGGCTTGAATATGTTTCAGAAATGAGGAAAAAAACCGCAAAATTTACGTAACTACGAAGTGCTTAATTTAATGATGGCAAAATTTGATCCAGCCGTCACTCGGTCTCGCAACTATGTTGCCCTTCTGTCGTAGACTGCGCGATTTCTAAAGAGAAATCATCTTGTCATTCGGCACGTTACGCGTAAGGGATCAAAAGTGCGAAACGATATGCAGGTTGGTCATTCTAATTAGTAGTAATTATTTTATATTGTTTTTTCCTGTTCTAACCTTTTTTAGATGTTGCGGATTCGTTTGCAAATTCTGTGAACTTTGCAGTAGAAATGAACGGGGTCTTGTCTTGTCACAACGATTATGAGATAAGTACTCAAGTCTATACAACATGGACCAGACGGCGGTCTTTATTAACAACGCCGGAAAATTAACAGTGGCCTACTGTGAAACACGCAATATTGACATCGTTCAAAGCGCAGTCGAAAACACAGGACGATGCAGCGTTTTTGTGTGCTTCAGCAATAGGAGTAAAGCTGAAGCAATTTATTGTGTTTGCGGGAAAACAGGGGTGCCAAGTTGCTAGTCAGGTGACATCGCAGTCCTGTGGCTGCATCTCGGCGGAGTACACAGTACAAGAGAAAGCCTGGTGTGACCATTCCATTATGAAGGAATCGATTTCAAATGTATGTCTGTCTCTTTTATTGAATTGAATTAAATTTACTAATTTAGGATTTCTTTTTTTCAATTTATTAGGTTTGCCATCCAAGTGTCACCGGTGCCGAATGCTACTTTGAACAGTTTAAACGTTCACGAGATGACAAGCATTCGCGAAATGCTCGGGACCGAGCGTACAACGCAGGGTTAGTGCATCCCACGAGGTGTTACTGCCCTAAGTCAGCCAATGGATGTCAGCGTAATGAGGACCTTCAAAAAGTAGATCGAGTAAGTTTTTGTTCATGCGTTCATTATTTTTGTGTATAAATTTTAGATATCTTTACGTATATATTCATACCGAGCAACCCACAGTATAACTACTACACAGTAGAAAGTAGTGTAACTTGGAGTTGACACGGCGAGATTGCGAATGAGAATCGGAATGCTACGTTTTCATTATCAATACACAACCTAGGTATAGAACTACTGTAAAACAAGAGAAACTCCTCTTCCACATCTGAGCCCAGGTATAGCCTCCGAAGTGAGCAATACCGCAAAATTTTTATCCGTCCTCAGGACTAGTAGGACAGTCCTCGTCCTCTTTCAAAATTATTGTACTGATTACAGTACCATATGGG